CCTTCCGCAAGTGCTCGCCGCAGCTACACCTAACTCCCGTTTGTCCCCTACGATTTCGCGCGTCCACCAAGGTTCATGACGCCTTGACGGGCGCTGCCGAGGACTACCTCGTCCCGTGCTGCCGATGCTAATGGTGATCGACTCCAACAAGTAGCTCCGGGCTCTCCGCTGGGTCAACCGCAAGCCCCTAGCCCTTCCGGGACGGTGTGACCCCTCTCCACTCCCGCTAGTACACTTCCTACGCTAGACGAGCCACGACTTTTAGCTGCGCGTCTCCAAAACCAAGAAGATAACAAGGGCTCAACCGCTCGAAACCGATGATCATTTGCGGGAGCTGTTGGAGGCGCTGCCAGCACGAACAATATCATAAAACGATCAATACGAACGAAACTCGAAGAGGCGTAGACCGCGGCCTGCGCGCCCTTATATACCCTGTGACTTGGCAACGGGCCCAACAGGAGAGGTCTTGGCGCGAAATGGGCAGCGCGCCAAGTAACGCGATAGCCAGCGCTCCCGGCCTCCTGTTTCGAGGAGTGGCTTGCATCGCGAGCCGCGACACCTACCATGAAAGACACTGACTAGATGTTCCCACTTGAGTGGTCTTTCAAGATGAGATATATACCATCTTGGAGAGCATGAACAGCTAATTCCGAATCTGCTTTCTCCTTATTTGCGGAGCATTCCTGGGAGACGAGATGTGAGGTGTAGGTGCAAAGATTGAAGGAGCAGCTAGAATAACCAGTCGTCGAGAACTTTTTAATTTGGAAAAAGCAGCGGCGAGTGAGACCATATTTGAACTAAGCCTATTAGCCCTGACATTCATCACTCTGCATTTGAGATCTAGAGAGAATATTAGAGCAAATTTAGCCAGGCGGCACATTCAAATTCTGGCTCTGATAAACGCTCACTCTTCGTCAAGCGCTCCGTAGATGAGGAAGGCAGAGGAATCAACGTTTTATGCCCTACAAATAGTGGTATGCATCTCATCCCGGAAGCCACTTCGACCTAACATTTTTCTCTGGTAAGAGAAGTGAGCTACAAAGAATCGAATCTGACACTTTTTGCAACACAGACTACTACACTACAGTTTCTACGATCAATGGCTATAGCACGAACTGTTCCAACATGAACGACACAGTTAGTAAAGCCTCTAATTTAATTCGTCGCATTTGCAAGTCATTACCAAGAAAGGAATACTAAACATCAAAACATATTATATTAAGTGCTTTTTATTTAGCTAGTATGGAGTGGTAAAGATATAAAACTTTATGAAAAAACACCTTATTGGGAAAGCTCTGACATGGTTTAATTGTCATTTCTAAAGTCAATTCTCTACATTCTTAGTTTGTATTGAGCAGAGGCGATGTCGCTGCTGTGATCGCTGCAATGCATGAGTCTACTAGACCTTACTATACAGTCATTATAAAATTGCTCTTTGTAACCGTCTTGCATAACGGTGATGTATATTTAGGAGAGTTTCACATTTGGAATGCATCATCTTTGCGTAAATAATATTTTGATTGAAGTTGCAGAAGCCAAATAATTGGCCCTATCTTTCAATAATAGTGCAATTGAGTGAACCTAAGCTTCAATCTGTTCTCTTAAACAGTTAACGAAATCACTACCCAGTATGTTGCTTCAAGTTTTTTGTGGGAGTTCAAAGAAACCTTGATTGTTAAAAAATGATGGTTACCTATTTCTTCGGAAGTCAAACGTGATGTATGCAAAAATCAACGGTTCGATAATATAATATATTAAGTTGAACCGAATCGCACCACCTTCAAAAATTGTAAGTTGTTTCCTTGATAGTATTGCTACCGATAAATGCTTTCAAAAGGCTAGACCATGTGTTTTCTAGCGGTGCTATAGGTTCCATATTAGATTCTGACTGTAGAGACAAAATTGATAGAATGAAATTATCCAAGCTTCGGTAATTTAAAGCAAGCTAATTACATATCTAACAATAAAATCATGCAAGAAAATCCAAAATAGTTGCAAAGCTTTTAGCAAATCCTCTTTCTGAACGTGCAAAGTTTGTGCCGATCGAGCTTTTCTATGAAAAGTTATGATTTTCAGAAAAACTGCCAAAAACAGCCGAGTGTGTGAAAATCAATTTTTTTTGCATTTTTTTCTCGAAAATTATAACTTCTCCCAGAAAATCTCGATCAGTACAAATCTGCACAGCCAGGAAGAGAAGGTTGAAGCCTATAATACCAACTAATCTAAATTTTTTTGCGTGGTTTTTGGATTTTTTTGGGCTTTCTCAAAAGCAACAGAGCTTGGATAATTTGTTTCTTTTTATCTCTGCTATTAGAACTTGTTAAGAAACCAGTATTGTACCATTGCAAAGTACGGAGATTGATTTTTTCAAAAGCCCATCAGTAGCATAAACTTTCGGTTTAGCCGAACAAACTATTACCCCCTCCACCACCCAAATACCGAGTAAAATTCTGCCGATATCCTTCCGTAAGCTTTGAAAACAAGCACTAGACTGAAGTAGTCTCTTCGCTGCTAATCGGTAAGCAACATACAGCTCAAGTTCGTCTGCCTACTACCAATCTCCTGTGAACGCTAAAGGGGAGGACAAAACATAATTCAGTAGTCAACCGTTGTCTGGGTTTGCTCCCATCTCACTTCTGAACTTGTATTATACATTGTTAATTCCATATGAAATATAAAAGTATTAGGTTGGTCTATGGTTTGCACCAAATCACCAAAAATTGGAGTAGGGAATAATCGAAACAACGATCTGATTCACTTTGTATTTTTTTGTAATATACGGGGTGTCCCAAAAAAATGTGAACACTGTTTGATCGTTGAAAACTCTCTTGCTTTTAAGTCTTTCGCCGAGCTTGAGGCATCATTCTGTAGAGCTAGGTTCAACTTAGATTTATAGTATGGAGCAAATCAACGATCGCTCTTCGTTACTGTAGGATTACGGTATGAACTTTCAGCATGTGGATCTATTGTGAAATACGCCTTTTGACAAAATTTTGTTCAAAAAATCAGAAAAATCGTGCACTAGGGTTTTCGAGCACGCTGATTCCACTGCACAACTTTTTACGAGTGTTTTTAGCCTTTTTGAGGTGTAATCACATTTCTGAAAAATGTTGGTCAGTTGTTACGGTCTACCTGGGATAACGGAAAGAAACATCACAGTAAAGTGAAAATTTCATTTTCGAAATCAGCGGCTGCCATTACTGTAGTATAAGAGTTTTTGGCTTGTTTGGTTTTGTTTCGAGGCAGAATATGGCCTCCAATGGCCTGAAATCCTTGTCGAAGTTCCTACCGTAATCCTACAGTAACGAAGAGCAAACGGTGATTCGCTCCATATTACAAATCTGAGTTGAACCCCGCTCTACAGAATGGTTTCTCAAGCTCGGCGAAAGACATGAAAGCAAGGAGTTATCAACATCAAACAGTGTTAAAATTTTTTTGGGACACCCCGTATAACTAGGGTTCTATCTTACTATGCAAGCAAAATAATGAATACAAGTCAAAGATCAACCGTTACCAACAACTTCTGAATGGCACAATTTCATTTATAATTTTATGGTATAGCATGTGAATCACAATAAAATTATAAACAAAAATTTTTAGACCCCATTGTTGTGTTTCTTCATTAGCTCATATCTCTTTGATACGTCCACCTCGAATTTTGCTTCAGAGTTTTGAAAAAGGACGTGATCTTCTCATTCTTGATTTTACTGGATCAAACAAAGCCCTTGATTCCAGAAGGGCCAACGGTTCTTCAAATGTATTGGTCCACGATCTATGGACCAGTCCAATATTTTTATATAATACTTTGCAAAAGTTCCGGTCCAAAGCGTGTGCTCTGTCCGTGAGGCCTTTCCTATTGACAGAAAATCAAGCAAGTGATTTGGAAATTTGTTGTTTCTAACATGCTATGCATGTGCGCTGAGCTATGCCTGAATTCTTCTTGGTATTAATTAGTCGGCTAGTCATCGCTGTATTAGGATCCTTGGCTCCACCGATAGAGCATTTTTTACATTGTTCAAAATTCATCCTTTTTTATCCTGGATTGATTGGGACCGAGTTGGTTGAGTTCGTTGTTGACGTTGATTGAGCATCGTGAAGAGTATGCCATTCTGCCGCAAACACCATTATTTCCACGCTAATTATTCAACAAGCTATTCCCAAGCTTTCCTCTTGAAGACAATTACTCAAATCATTGCTCAGTATTTCTGAGATCTACCGTTGACTTCAAAGATCCAAAAAAATCTTTTTGATGAAAGCTTCAGTCTCAGAGTAGACTGGTAAATAAGTCTGCATAATAGTAGCAAAACAAACATCAGTTCCTTGTATCCCTTGCTGCATGCAAATTAGCAAAAGTCATTGCATCCACACAACGTCCAAGAAAGAGTTTCGATGAGCAGAAAACTATCATTACAAATTCTGACAAGCCTCGATGATCACAGCAATATCTCCGCAGAAAGCCAGACTTCATCTCTTATACAATACCTTTTCTTATATCATGTTTTTGCTGTTGGTCTTCGCTATAACACTCCGCAACATAGGCCGTAATCATTCGTCAAAAAGTTGGAAGATCTCTCCAAGCGCTTTTAGATAATTTACAGCAAGCCTTATATTTTTGTAGCTTTTTGGGAACATAATTTTGCAGTAATTAATCTTTTGGAGGACTACTGTGCAAGATATTTGAGCATAGTGGAATCCACGATACAGATCAATATATTGGAATTCATTTTTGAATTATAAAATCCCACAAGGCTTCACTCCTGACGAGCTAGCTTATTCTACTGATGGGCCAAGATTCAGTGTGTACACTTATTGTTCTAGTAATTGCTTCCGCTGTTCACCATTTCATCCAAAAAATTTTAATATTACACAAACTACGTCTGGATTTAGTCACAGTTGTGAAATGAATGTTGCTCTATCTCTACTCTGAGCTATTCTACGTGAACAAATTGCTATCCATTTTTGGACCTACAACATGTCAAAAACAGCAGTTCCATCTTCAGATGACTCTATTCTACTTCCATCTGCCATGGATAATTAACGAAAAGGAGTACAATTGTAGCTCACGATCGTATGCAGAATGGAAAAGCCGTGGATCAGTGAACATCTATCAAGGCACTTACTTTGCCGTAGCTGGAACAATTTTTCTTGTAAGCTGGTAGTAATACAACTTTGCATTCATCTAGATTATTTCTAGACTATTACAGATTATCTACGCGCTTTGTTTGGCAGGAATGTATCGGGGTCTATTGTTGAAGAAAGCTTGTTACAAACTGATGTTCTTTAACGGGTTTGTCGACATCTTCGACTTAATGCTTTGCTCATACATAATCCCCTATTTCCACTTCGTAAGTCATCTAACAGATAGACCGATATGAGGTAAAAATGGGATTTTTAGACGGGAGCTGTTTTCTGTACTTCTATGGCATTCAATTGGTTTTCTGGACATCTGGCCTACAGTAAGTTCGATTGTACTAGTATTGGTTATCGTTAGCGAAGACCGTAGGATTTGTGTAGAAAGCAAACTCGCTTATTATTTTCACTCAAGCTTGCTAAGTCCCTCTGATTGCGAGTGTGTTTATTGTACTAGTATTGATAGAGAGTGACCTAAATGGGGGATTTGATGAGAAAGATTAAAATATTGATGAAATCACTTACAATCCTCAAAAGCTGTCACTCGGAATAAGGGTATTACTTTATTTTTATAACTCGTAATTCGTAAGCCAATAAGTTTTTTTTTCAGGTCTCTGGTTTGGTGCGAGTTTCAATTGTACAGTTTTGGCGCTTAATAGATTCGTTGAAATGATTCCTGTGGCAAGACAAGTACAGTTTCTTTTCCGAGGTATTCGAAAAAATTTTTTTACTCGTTTACCATAAATTTTTTTCAACATTTTGTATTGAAGGAAATCTGCTCTATATGTGGATGCTTATCTCAGCATTTTACATGATTATTGTATGGTTCACCATCAGACCACTTCTTTTCAATAGTGTGGCATCTGCATACATAGGATCGCCTATGATAACGGATTCACCATCGGTAAGCAAAGAACTCGTCTAATCTTTCAAGAAAGAGCAAAGGCTCATAGACGCTTGGTAAAATCTCCATGTAGAAGGCAAATTCGAAAATAATGATCTCACAGGACCATGACCACTACACATCTTTATATCTAGTAATTCATAATTCAACTGTGGCTCTCGTACTGGCGACCTGCTACCCAATACTATGCTACTATATAAGGAGTCGTCGAACCAGTGTTTCTAGAAGACATTTACAGGTAATAGCTGTGACTTGTCTCCAACACCGGCATTAACTATTCATTTTCGATAAGCAAGTCTTTCGAATTCTAGAATTTGGAGACCAAATTGCAAAGCACTGTACGCCCACAAGGCCATATTCCGATGTAAAAAAATGCTCTGGAACCTTGCCTAAATTACGGCTCGGAAAGAGGAGAGTGACGTTTTTCGGATTAAATAGATTCGCCTTGCATCGGAAAAATCTAAATTGGCTGATTTGATTGAAATGAGTTTTCGAATATGATATAAGCACGCTCAATCAGCGTACTAATATCTTACCAATCCTTTTTATCTTTATAAGACTAGTGGGGTGGTATTTTGCAGATATGCGCATAATTAATTGATCGACTATGAATTAGAACGCGTTCGGCGTACGCAGAGAGTATTTTAAAACATTCACGACAATACGACCCACCTGTGGGTCGTATGCTCTCTGAAGTTTTTGATTTTGCTAGTTCATGGTGAAACGTTTTGGGCAAACCGAGTAAACTTCTGCGTACACCTCATGGGGTACTTCCCAATAGATTAACACTTCAGACCACAGGGCCCATCAAAGACCGAAATATAACGCGGACTCAATTTTGCGGAATATGTTCAGGTCCGAAATGGCAGTCATCGAAAAATCGGCCATGTCGTGAATGTGTTAAGTAAGATTAAGGCAAACGTGCTTGTGTTCTTATAGCCGTAGTGCTATGTTCAACAAAAGTGGGCTGCAAAGTTTGCCAACTCAATAAGATGTAACCTTTGATTCAACTGGCTTGGCTTCGGAAAGGCGGAGCTTTGTGACGTAATCAAGGCCGCTCGCGATCGCGACGCACCCGCCTCTCTCTCGCGCGGGTGCTCTCTGAACACTAGCTAGCCTTAATTAGGTCAGGAACCCCGCCTTCCCGGAGCCAAGCCACTTGAATCAAATGGTACCAGCCTGGAAGGCAGCGTCCGGACAAACTGTTGGATGAAAAAGTTTTTGCTTACCTAAGCGTATCTTTCCCGATGTCTCCGAAAAAAAGTAGTTTAAAGGGCACGAAAATGTCGAAAACGGGCTATTCCAAGACCCTTGATTTTGGGGACGCTTGCTACCAAAGTGAAGACGAAAGTTGTTGTGATCTACGTGTCTTGGCTGTGTGCGATATGCGCACTCTGGCTATTTAAAGAGGAATAAGACAAAGGCTGCGGTCTTCTGCTTCAGAAGCAAAATTGTGCAATGCCACTTGGGCAGGAGTTTTGTTAACATGGGTGTCGTTGCACTTCATGTTTTTCACTTAATTGTCACACCTGCCCGGCTGCCATTGATCAACACTTCTAGCTGTCTGGGTCCAATATACAGGGTGTCCCAAAAAAATGTATCGAACGTTTGATCGTTAATATCTCTCTTCCCAAAAAGTCTTTTGCGTTGCTTTAGGTACCGCTTTGTAAAGCTGGCTTCAACTTAGATTTGCAGTATAGAACGAATCTCTCTTCATTACTGTAGGATTACGGTAGAAACTTCAAAGAGGGTTTTAAGCAATGAAAGGCCATATTTTGCCCCAGAAAGGAAACAAAACAGCCTGAAAACTTTTACACCAGGCTAATTAGAATTGCTGATTCTAAATGTAAAGTTCCCAATTTATTATGATGCTTCATTGAAGAGTTATGCCAGGTAAGGGTGCCTTCATACCGCGTCTGCAGCCGCCGCTAGCAGCCCGTAGCAGCCGCTGGCCGCCTTTGTTATAGGAGTGAAATCGTCAAAATCTTACTATTTTAAGTGCTCCTGCCTACGTTTTTCATCTTCTACGCCTATTTCTTCTTATTACCGCTAATATGCAGTTCAACTCCCCCACAATACACTTGCGTTCATTGTTCTGTTCCGCACATTGTATCCTATCGCGCTCACATTCTTTTGCAATCTGTCTTATTTAAAAAGACGTGAGCGATTATTAAAGCCAGAAGAACTCAACCCGCAGATAAATCCCGGCGAACTTGCGAAAAGTAGAATGATTTTAGATATGCACCGACAGCCAAGAAAAACTGAAGCAAAAGCATATTTAAAGAACAAATTGCACACGTGCAGGAACCGGACGCATCCAAAGTCAGAGCGAATTACACCGGAAAGAACCTTCTGCGAACTATGGTTCAACAGGATGACCATACGGCGAGAAGGTAGTGACAACAATGACACGTATATGATCTGTGATCAAACTGCGTACTGGCGACAACAAAAGAAAAGCGTAGAAGATGAAAAGCGTAGACAGGAGCACTCAGAGTTGCAAGATTCTGATAATTTTGCTTGTATAGCGAAAGGGGCCAGCGGCGGCTACGGGCTGCTGGCGACTGCTACGGGCTGCTGGCGGCTGCTACGGGCTGCTGGCGACTGCTACGGGCTGCTGGCGGCTGCTACGGGTTGCTGGCGGCTGCTACGGGTTGCTGGCGGCTGCTACGGGCTGCTAGCGGCGGCTGCCGGCGCGGTATGAAGGCACCCTAAGAGGTAGCGGCCATTTTTTCAATGTTCCTAAAAAGTGCGGTTACACAGTTTAGAAAGCTTCGTAATCTTGTGAATAGTTGAGTATTGAACTCAGCGTCCATAAAAACCCCAATACACAAGTTTTCACATTTTTTTGAAAAATTTTGAAACAGCAGCTTTTTCCACATTGACACCATATGTTTCAAGTTTCTACCGTAATCCTACAGTAATGAAGAGAGATGGGTGGTTCGTTCTATAATGCAAATCTAAGTTGAAGCCAGCTCTACAAAACGGTACCTGAAGCAAGGCAAAAGACTTCTTGGGAAGAGAGATATTGTCTACAGGATCAAACATTCGATACATTTTTTGGGACAACCTGTATATCGTTCCGTACTGGCCTAATAATACCAGACTCTTGTAGGAAAAATCATAGTGATTTGCAAGAGTGAAGTCGGAGCAGCCGTCCCTGGTCTAGTTTATAAAGCTGCAAAAGCGTTTAGTGACCTTACAGAATTCACCAACGAGTAATATCCAAAAACTGAATTCCAGTGTTTTAGTAACACTTTTATTTAGATATTCGTGCAAGTGCTTTTTATAAGCTTGTCTACAGGATTAACGGGGATACTCTACATAGCGCTCGAATTTCTCCCAGTTCCTCAATGCGTTGTCATCGCTGCTCACGTTATATGGCAGCTTAGTCATGGTTAGTTCATTTTATGCAGTAATCGATATATACTTTGAGTATTTTAGGCATACATGGGATAATATACCTTTGTTTCAACGTGCAAATTCGACAAGAAGTTGCTTCTTTACTATTCAAATCTAAACGAAAAACAGGAAGTATTAAGAGCAGTCATAGATCAGTTCTTGGGACTTCTGGCTCGCACGTGTAGTTTCTGTTTTCATGCGATAAATCTGATTGTAATTGTTTCTTGCAGCAAATATATGTCACGGGCTCAAAAAACCTTTGAGCTGCATTTGAGTACCTTGAAAATTGGCAAAGGTGTTTTAAGTATTTCATCAAATGTGCAAAATTTTTGATTGCTTCACAGAAAGTTATGCCCACAATCTCAAAGTGAATTCTTCTTTGAAAAAAGCTGTAGACATAATGATAAATCAAGGCGTTGTCTACTGTGGAAGCCTATGTTAGTACTATCGCAAATACTGCAACGGATGTCTAAGCTGCGAACAGAAACACGTGAGACAAGCTTCCGTTGCACCTGGACACCTGAAGTGCTCCTACAGCGTGTTGCTATACTTCGCTTACGTAAAAACGAATAAGAATTGCATGTTGATTTCAAACCACTGCTTCTTATCATGTCACCTTTTTCCAAAGCTAGCCGTTGTCCTGAAACACAGGCATATAAGAGACCAGTCATACTTCGCCGAAAAAAGCCCAAAAGCGCCCAGAAAAGCCCATAAAGCCTAAAAGCACCAAAAAGAGCCGGATGCCCCCTTCCGCGCGCAAGTTTTGGCGCTAGGATATGTGTGTTGATTTCGTTACCGAGCCTTTCTGCTTCATTTTCTCTCGCTTGCACGCTAAAGTACTGTCAGAATTCTACCAAAAGTTCAAAGCCGGGTGAAACAGGGTTCCGGCCAGGGTCAAGCGTGTGATGCGACTGTCGCAACGGGGGTCGTAAAGGGGGCCTACAGTGAAGGGGGGGGGGTCGTAAGAGGGGGTAGTTTGGATAAAAAACCGTACGATTGAAAGCAAATCAAATAGCAAGTAATTATTACATGTTCTTAACAATAAATTCACGGAATGCCGTGTACCAATGTATTGAATAAAAACGAGTGAACAATAATTTGAAAACATTAGCAAGCGTAGAAATTTGCTTCATTTGCTGCACTTTTGAAAGATTATGACTTAGTTTTTTTTTAATGGGAATCGCTATTTCTCCCGCAAAATATTGTCTCAAACGGGGATCGAACCCTGCTGGCATGACTAAAATCCAAAAAATAAACACTTTCAGAAGCTCAAAGGCTACTAAAGGCATGTATATGTGATAAAGATGTTGGATGTACCGATTGGTGTAGACATCCTGCTTCCGAAGGCTCACTGAAAATTCGTACACTCGACAAAAGCGCACATGTAGATCAACGATGACAATCAGTAATTCGTAAATCTTTTTGTAATGCCATCTATGCGGCCCTTACAATTTATATGTACTTTATACTGTACTTTTGCGGCCCTGCTACTGCTGTGCAAAATCTGGTGTTATTTTATAAACTGCGGATTTTCTTATGATTTTATTTATGGTAGCAAAAAATGAGAAAAGGGGGGTCGTATCTGCGCCTGATCTAAATTTCTTCGGAGCTAGTGAAGCTTGTTAGCTGCAAACTTGCTGTAATACGAGGCCATCCCTCTAGTTTTTATCATACGAATTTTAGGTTGTTTTATAACTTCTCTGGTAAGTTACAAAATTTTGAGCTCAAAAATTCTAGTTTTTGCTTTTTAGGATCGAATCTAAATTTGCGAGAGCCTGATCTAAATTTTTTGAGCTCACTGCTCCTTTAATTGCTGAAACTTTTTCTATGAATAGTCTGGGCACTATGCTACACAGCCCATTGATTGCAGCCTTTCAGTCTTTTCCTGTCCTTAGTTACGAATTTTCAAACTACCGTGCTCATGCATGTTTTTGAGGTCGTTCTGGACGGCGCTAAAGCGGTTTTTTTCGCAGGAAAAACTGTGGAAGAGGTAAGAACTGAGCTTCTTAGTCGAAAACCATCTTTCGTAATTCAAGAATGTCATTTTGTTCTCCGTGTAAAAATTTGTGTCGCATACGGGAATCGAATTTGCTGGCCTGAAGTATGCCTGAAAATTCAAAAGTAAACTTGCAGAATCTCAGACATCATTGAAGGTGTGTATATGTGCTAGAGATGCTGGGCGCATCCATTGGCCTAGAAATTCTGCTTCCGAAACCTCACCGAAGTTCTCACGCAGCTGTTTTTTGAGATTGACATTCGTTTATGCAGGTTGCCGCGAGAAATGTGGGCAGGGGAGGTAAGAGGATAGATGGGGGAGGGGGAAGGAGGGGGGAGGGGGGGGGGGTCGTACGTATGGGGACCTTCAAGGGGGGGGGGGGTCGTAAATGAGGGTCCAGGATCGCATCAACACGCTTGACCCTGGTTCCGGCTCTTTCTGGCGCATTTGGGCTTCTTTCAGTGCTGGAGAGGTATGACGAGTCCCTAAGTGAAGCTTTCCCCACTGGAGACTATAAGAGTCGTCCATCACGCCTCAACAGTTCTAAAAACAAAAGCCACCGGTAAATGACATTTTGCAAGTCATAGAGTAGACCATTTCTGACTGGCAACTAGTGAACTGTTAGGCTGGGTTCATACTAATCCGGATGGTCTACGACAATTCCAGCACAGTTCTCGAACTGTGCCGGAACTATGCTGTATGCGCTGCAGCCGCCCGCATGCAGTTTCGAGCAGCGGAACTTGGAGACCCGTCATACTTCGCCGAAAAAAGGTCAAAAAAGCCTAAAGAAGCCCGAAAAAGCCCCAAAAAACGCGGAAAAGCCCAAAAAAGCCCGAAAAACCCAAAACGTCCCTTCGGTTTTGACGCTAAGGCATGTGTGTTGATTTCGCAACCGAGTCTTTTTGCTTCATTTTTTCTGCTTCTGTACATAATAGGGATCGTTCATACCGCGCAAAAAGGCGGACGAAGACGCACAAAGGCGGACGAAGGCGGACGAAGCCGGACAAAGGCGGACGAAGGCGGACGAAGCCGCACCAAGGCGGACGAAGGCGCACGAAGGCGCGTCTTGTCTCGTCTCGTTTCTCTCGACACACACATACACACACGCACACACGCCTCGTCTCGTTTCTCTCGACACACACACACTCACACATGCCTTCGTGCGCCTTCGTCCGCCTTTGTGGGCTTCGTCCGCCTTAGTCCGCCTTTGTCCGGCTTCGTCCGCCTTTGTGCGGCTTCGTCCGCCTTCGTCCGCGGTATGAACGATCCCAAAATAATGTCAGAATTATTCTATCAAAAGTTCGTTTCTGCGGTCCGGCTCTTTCGGGCTTTTTCGGGCCTTTTTTTGGTTTTTTGGGCTTTTCTGGACTTTTTGGGCTTTTTCGGGCTTTTTCGGGTTCCTTTGGGCGCTTTTGGGCTTTTCTCGGCGAAGTGTGACGGTCTCCTTACAGATTTTTGACCTTTCCTCTCAAACTTCACTCATTTCGTTCTCATTCTTCTACTCCGCTTCCCACTCTGATGAGAAGAGCCTTGATTATGAAACGAGGTTGGAGAATAAGCGCTGTATTGCTTCCTTGTATCCGGAAAGATGGCTCCTCGTGCGCTCGTCCGTTCTGTCTTCGCAATTTTTGATCAAACCTACTCCATTTATTCCAAGAAGCCTTCCCCTAGGCATACGAACAATTCTGAAAATGTGGAAATCGGGAATTTTTTTACTTTTCTGGTGGCTTTCGCTTTTGAGTTCTCACTTTGTTAAATATCACTGCTTATCCGTTCTTTCTTCTATCCCGCTTCTCCTTGTGATTAGAAAAGCTGCCGACTCAAAGCAAGGTTGCAGAATGACGTGTTCTGCTGTATCCGGGAAGATGGGTCAAAGTGCGCTCATTCATTCTCTCTTCGTTATTATTGTTTCAGACTTACTTCATGTGCTCTAGAAACCTATTATGCCTCTTTCAATGCAAATGCGGAACTACGCAGCGGAACACATGAAGTAGGTTTATACGTTGATAACGAGGAGAGAGTGGACGAGCGCACGAAGACCCATCTTCAGGGATACATGAAAGTAGAACAGCGCTCATTCTTCAATCCCGCCGCTCAAGATCGAGGCTCTTCTCATCAGGGAGCCGGTGCGGAAGAATGGGACCGAAATTAGTGATGTTTGAGAAGAAAACCGTTAAAAACGGTCAAAAATTTCGAACATCCGCCGCTCACAAACTCATGCAGGCGGCTAGTTCCAGCACAGTTCCAGCACAGTGCGAGAACTGTGCTGGAACTGTTCCCATCTATACTAGTATGAATCCAGCTTTAGAACTGCAATGGGACACGTCTAGATGGGAACCAGCCATGATGGCGAAGGAACAACGCAAATTCTCATGACTCTATGAACGGACGATTCTAGTATCTGACCAAGTTCAGGTCACTTCTACCGTAATTTGACGAAACAGAATTCTAACAGGACTCAAAGGCACGCCCCACCAGACTGGGGGGTATCTGGCTCTGGTAGTAATGTGATGGTAGACCCCCTAAACAAGCGAAGACAAAAGTTTGCTGCGCGAAAGGGGTCTACGAAGTCTAAAAATCGCCCCCCAAGTGTCTGGATCTTACGGTAGGCTCTAACGAGTACGAGGTGCATGCACGGTAGAGACGCAGAGTCGTTGCGGGACCCTGCGCTCATGACTGTCTGCGCTATGCGTGCTCTGGCCTTGAATTTCGAAAAATCGCTGTGTGGGCGGCGTCCGAGCCTACCGTAAGATCCGGGCCACTTGAGCAAATTTCAGGCTTGGTAGACCCACCCTTTTCGCTCCGAAGTTCAGAAATCGCTTCGATAGGGGATTTCAACATCGCTACAAAAACCCGGCACCCATCTTTTTGCCGGGACGCTTCCTTCAAAAGTAGGACTCATTTACATGCGTCGAAAGCGGATGCTTGGGAAGATCATAAAATTAGTAGGAGAGTTCTGAAGAAAGAAAAAAGCGTTTGAAGAAATGGCGGAAGCGCTGACAGAAGACGAGACATTGTCGAACTTCAACTTTTATAATTTACAAGATTAATCTAGCTTGTGTTTTAAAGGAAAAAAGTTGTACACTGACTATAGTACTAATTTCTGGATTTCAATGTATACATGAATAAAATATTGCGGTTGTACTCTCGCGCGCATGAAGTCAATGGTTGATCAAGTGGTAGGAGTCTACGATCAGTGGGGGCGAAGCTTGCCACTTCTCAATAACCTCGTTTTTCTTGTTATTCAAGCTCAGTCTGCTGTCCGCGCATGTAAGATTCAGGCTTATTGTCTTCTATAAAATGGAGCATATGTCATAACCTTTATAATAGGTAGACTTAAAATAGCAATGAAGTCCATCACAGCTTTTAGGCCAAGATCTTATGTTTTCGACTTTTCTTTTTTTTTTCATAGGAAAAGTTGACAATGTTTATGCTTACCATAATCTTGTACAGATTGTTTCCTCTACCCACAGGTACGCAACATGTCTCAACAGCCACATCAAAAATTTCTTCAGTTGAAGCAATCTCCCAAATTCACACCAACCTAACACAAGAGGAAACCTTATCAGTCATCGCGCACCATTTCTTATGAGGTTGGTTTTCAAATTAGTCCAAAGTCAGCTGTATGAATACAATTAATGCCAAAGTTGGTCCGTCTTGTTACCTGACATAATTAGTTTAGTGAGTGTACACAAAAAGACTTGCTTGAATCATCACTCGCTTACTTTTGACGGCACATGAAAGAGGAAGGAGGCATATTGGAACATTGTAATCTAAACAACTCTTCAAGGTCTCACATGAAATTTAAGGGTTGTTTCCAACCGCCGCTAGTAACTGGAAAATCTGTGTTTACGCTGCACTTCTGCAAGCACTCGCTTCGTACAAGTAGTTTAATAATGAACTGAACAGGGTCCTACCAAATGTGGTCAGTGTTACAAGAACAAGTTTTTTAAGTGGTGTTACAGGTACAAAACTTGAAGTTCATTTGAAAATAAATATATGAACCTACAACATCGTACATTACATATTTCGTATCAAAATACCGGTGAGCTTGAAGTTCGGCAATAATTTTATACATATCTCGAAACCCATATTCGAAGAAGATGGGCAAAATAGCAATGAAGTCCATCACAGTATATGTTAAGCTGACAAAAAACGAAGGGAATAAAGCACAGATCATGCGCTACTATCTCACTGCATCGTAAACGGCCTTCTGGAGGTTTGAATAAATCCGACAGCTATCATACATTCCTATCTTCAGTCCGTTTGCAATGTATGCAATCACGATTTTGTTCTCAGAGTCAAATATTACTTGCTGGCATCCAAAGCCGGAGTGTCCAACAATGAATTCGTCCTCAAAATAGAACTATTTAAAAAAGTCATACTAACAGATAGTTGGTTATTTTATCTCAAGAGCATTCCGATTTCAAAAGTTTAGGTTATCTGTATTTTAGACGCTGTGATGCAAACAGGGATAAAAAAAAAGATATTAAGCAACAAACAGTTAAGCAAAATTAGCGCAAATTCTTAATAGAACAAAACTCATTTTTGAAAACCTAAATTATTAAGTTGTCCCAAAAGTATTCAAGTTTTTTTCGTTTTCCTATTATAGTTAGTGTATCATTCGATAGAGCAGATCAAGCTCTACAAATTGACCGCTAAACGTCCGACGCCTAAATCGCCTTCCATGTAAAGTTTGAGGCCAAAATCGAAAAAAATTTTGTCATCTGAAATTGGATTTTTGCGAAGAAAAACCCTACGGATCTCCAAATTGATAATTATACAGCAGGCATAATTAGTTCTTAAATATGCCTTTACTGGATTTTTTCCGCGAAAGCGACAAAAATAAGACAAAAATGGCAAACTCCGCCCCCAGTCCCTCTCACATGTGCATTTGCATACTACAAGCCTTACTAGATATAAACTTGAAATTTCACCCCTGCATGTACTCTTATAATCGAGAAACACCAAGTTTTGCATAAGAAACCCAAAAAATGGCATTTTGGCACCACCTTTGTTTCTCGATTCTGAGCCCGAGAAAAATCCAATAAATACATTTTTGGGTACTGCTACGTGTCTACTATATGAAGACCAATTTGGAAGTCCGTAAATCTCTGGAAGGAGATCCGATTTTTAGGGTAGCTGAAAAATTTTGATTTTTAGCTCCAAATTTTACCTGGGTTACGAATTAAGTGGATCTTTGGCAATCTTTTTGTAGAGCTTGCTCCGCTCTACCGAATGGTACCCTAAATCTGTCAAAAAAAAAAACAAAAACAGCTTAAGTTATTTGAAAATGGATTTCTTTTGGGAAAACCTAATAGAACAGTGAAACATTTTGCGCAGAGCCGTAAAAAAGCATCAAATCAAATTCGAGGAAACCTTGCCTGAATGTCATTGAAAATGTTCAATAGAGTGCATCGTAAATTTTCAAAGCAAGATTCAGAGAGCTGGCTTCAACTTACTTTTACTAGGCAAAGCTCTTCTTATTTTATACTCGCTGATACTATTATTTCTTCGCAATCACTTGTATCAGTCATTTTTGTCATTTCAGAAATGAAAATACACGTACCTCACCAATGATCGATGGATAGTAGAAAAACCCGTGTCCTACGGCAACATGCATAGGAAGCACAAAATCCTCCTCGTTCTTTATTGGATTCTTCAAAAGCCGCAATGTTTCATTGCTAACTATGCGTCCATTCATGAACTGAAACAACAGAAACCGTGGATGTTGTAAAGTTGTAAGATATAAAGTTCAAGATATGAGCAGACTTTGCTACTGCAGCGCTATTGCCAACATAAATGTGCTTAATACAATGAAACCTACGAGATTGAACAACTTTGCTAGGGATCGCGCATTTCCTATTCCAAGTACAGCAGCCTGTTCCAATGCATGCTGTTCAGGATCGTTGACTGTACACTGCGTCCTAAGAATGATCCAAGATGGATTGCCAATAGCGCTTTTGAGTGGACCAAACTGAAAATGTTCAGCAGTGCACACCAGTGAAATCTCACATCATACCGTAATGCCCGCGAGAAGACTGAGTAGCACATATAGAGATTTGTAGTCATGAATGATTTCCTTCATGAGATCGACGGGTTGAACGAGAGCAGTGCGAGCTACGCGGTATTCCTCGGAGAAGATATCCAAACCGATGTGAAAATCAATGCCTGAAACTTCAGTAGTTTATTTTATGGATCTATGAATTGCGACATTACTCAGAATTCTCTCACAACGAAAGAAGTCATAAGTGTTTGAAAGTCTAAATTTGTCAAGCCTTAGGTGGCATGAAATTAGCGAAAAGCTGTGCAAAAACGCCTATGAGCATTTCCACAGGCCACGTTCTTTTCTTGTATTCAGTATAATTGACACAAGTTTGATTTGCTTACTTTCAGATGTTTTGCGCACTTTTCGCTAATTTTGTGACACCTACAGAATGACAAATTTGGCATTTCAGACATGACTCTTTTCGGAGAGTCGAAATTGCAGAAAAGAAAAGGATGACAGATTTAAAATCATCGTTTAATGCTCTACAAAGCTACATAGGTTTCATGCGGAAAGGCCACTTATTTTAAAAAAGGTTCACTTGATAGCATGGACTTAGATTTTCCCGTTTTCAAAACAGATTTCCTTCTAAAACCGAAAATCAGACAACCTGCAAAAATAAAGCAAGTTAGACTACACTTGTCATTTGAAAGTCTCTTTTCCTCATAATGATTTTTTCACGCCTTCATACTGTACTGGTTGAAATTGAAAAATTACTGGTTAGGTCCGGCCTTCGTTCTTGCACAGTAACATAACGCTGTCAGAAATACAGAGCTTGCGCAATTGAGCAGTTTCATACGTCTTCATCACTATTCAAGTAAGTTTGTAAGGTCTCACCATTTGGCTGAGCGATTTCTTCTTTGAAAAATTGTCCTATTCCACGCTTTTTCTCGTCCGTGTGTCTGATGATTTGATCAACGAGCCATCCGTATGTAAGAGCGTGATAACCGCTCCTTTCTCCTGGCGTTATTTTTGGTGCTTCATTTTCTATCGCCTCTCTTATGAGATTGTGGTCTTTTGCCATTTGTTTTGTTACTGGGGTTTCGAAATAGTACAGACCTGCCTAAACAATAAATTAGCTTTTTTGGTATGGAGCAAAGACTTCTTTGTTCTTATTAACCATGTGTGACACCATCCAGTTTATGGTGATATTTTCTTTGCCATTTTTTGCAAAGCCTGGCCAGTGCTTTGAGACGAGATCATCGTAACTAAGTCTTCCTCTATCAGCCAGAAGAGCTATGCAAACAGCGGCAACAGACTTGGTTGTTGAAAAAGCGACAGCAATAGTATCCTAAAATAATTTAATTTATTGCGTATAATGCCAAAGTTCAAAAAGGTCACTTTTTGCCATATCCTGTTTGCTTGAAAATCGGCGTAACCACCCCACAAATCAACTACTTTCTTGTCATTTACGTATACAGCAAGAGATGCCCCCTGTGGCTCCAATCCATCAATGAAATGCTGCCTGAAATGAAGGAATTGAAATAAATCAGTGGAACGAAGCTACTCAGACTTACTCGAAAACTTTCCGAACATTTTCAAATTTGCTATCTACTTCTCCTGACAGATGGAGTGGATGATTTATAGGAGAGATTTTGGAAAATATACCAATGCTGTAGTAAGAGAGAATACCCAGAGCTCCCATCAGAAGTACATAGTGCAGCTGAATATTCAGGCGTCGCATAGCTGATCTGATTGAACCTTAAACCACATAAACACATGAAAGTTCTTAGATTTACTTAAGTGGAGATTACAAGAAAGAAATGTGAGACCTTGAGTATAGTGTTGCATTGCGGAATGCTGGGGTGATTGAGTGTCAAGGAACTCGGCTATAGAGCTAGGGAGGGCGTGCACGAGTTTCTAGAACATTCCCTTGCACCATAGTTAGCACCAGATTCGCGCCTCAGATGTTTCTAGCACCTCCTGCGCCTCAGAGGTCAGGTCGTGCCACCACTTACTTAGTTGATCTATGTGGATCTATTGTGAACAGAGCTATTACAGTGATTAGGGATCCACAAGTACCAAAGAAAGAAAGGAAAAAACAAGCTATAGTTTGTGCGGTAAAGAAAATATCGGCAATTTTTACTCATCCGCGCTTATCTCTAATCCTGTTTACAACAACACTTCACTGACAGCGTTCATTTATCAAACCGAAGAGCCCACCAAGAAAATGCAATTGCAGATCTCTAAAAACATGTAGGGCTTTTCTTTCTCCGACTTCTGGCATTATGAGATTATAAAAAATCCGAATCAAGTTCAGTAGTAATCTTGCTCTCAAAGCAATGTTGTTACTGAACGTTACACGAATTCTTAAAAAATTGATGTTATTTCTTAGATTTGCTTGAATCGAATACTTGCATGCTGCTCAAAATGAGAAATCGATTATTTGAGTACTTGCTAATAAAAAGTGAGCATTTGATTTTCTCGGAAAATACAAAGGTGAAGTCTGTCTTCAATTTTATGTCCAGAAATTCGCGTAGCTAATTTTTACACGTTGGTTTTTGATGTAATTCAGAATCGGAGTGTTTCTCTGTACAATATGGAGAATTTTTTGGATGAAGATCTAGAATTAGGACGGTCAAGCCTTTAAGGTACGATATATAGTATAATTCAATATGATCAAGTGGTAAATTGAAATTGTGATGGAATATACTAACAGGAGAAGGCATATGACTCGCAGTGAAGTTCCCCTATAAGATTTATATCACTCGAAAGGTCTTTGAGCGTTGGATTCAAACCTTCAAGTTTTGTTTCTATGGCTGCTAATATTTTGTAGACGCAAGCCTGTACTGTACGCCTGCTTAGAAAAGGCTTCAACGAAGGAGTTCTGCGAAAAGAAGAGATAGAAGTCCAAAATCGTTCACTTTCTCGAGCCTATTTGTGGTAGGCCAGAAAGTCCGAAACTATGGAAAGTGATTCTTCATGCATTGCATAGCTAAGCTTTTCTGCAAAAATTGCAGGAAAGATGTCCTGACCCCAAACATACAGAACGAGCGAAACTTCGGTGATTGCCCTTATGAAAAACTTCCATATAAATGCTATTGATAGAAGCATAATTAGCAAGATTAACTTGGCTCTGGTTACAATTAACGCTGCTTATAAGCTGCTGCCCGACGAAGGCGAATATCTTTGGGCGCGAAGGCAGCTTGATTAGTCAAAAGAAACATCAGTGCTACTAACGAAAAAACATTACGTAGTAGAATATTTAGAATGTGAAGCTGTAATGTTAGAATCGCAGTGATTCGAGAAAACTGATTGGAAAAAATTATATAAGTTTAAACAAATATAGTAGGACTCTAGGAAGGTTTCCCTCATCAATTTTCAGAATTTCGAGCAGGATAAGTACATTCGCTCACGACATAGGATCATGATGTCTCACAGAACAGTACACTTCAGTTGTTGATGCCAAACTTTTGGGGAGACGGTCAAGAGGCGCGATTTCTCTGGCTGTCACCAAAAATCTCCAGTAGCTATATGCAAGTCTTCAAAAATTAGCAGATAAAGTGCATTGGCTTACTCTCCGTCTGAGGTTACCACCTGCCAAGTTTGGTGGCTTTTGCTAAAAAATGGAACGAAAAATTTACGAATTTCTTCTCGACTGCAATTTCATGGGTTTTTGACCTTCAAAATTGCTGTTTTGACTTGATTCGAAGGTAACAAGGTTGAGCAGTCCATGCACCTATCTAATATATCTCCTTCTAGAATTTAAATACTTTTAGGATGTTATAATACACTTATTATATGCTATTTGGTGTCCATCTGGCAATAAAATCGCTCCTCTTGACATACACCCAAACTTTTGAGCTTTCTATTGTAGATGCCTAGCAGTGGCGGACCGAGGGGGGGGGGCGGGGGGGGGGGGCGCCCCCCCCCCCCCGAGAATGGGTCGCGAAATTTTTGAAACTTACCTATATGGGTTGTAAAAATGTGCAAACGACTTGTTTGCACTTGAAAATAATTAAAATAATTTTTAAAATTTTTTAAAAATTCATTTTAGCCTTATAAAAAATTTTTTTTCGGGGGCGTGGCTGACGCCACGCCCCCTTTTTCCAGATTTTAGGGGTCGGGGCCCGCAAAAATTTTGAGAAGCACCCCAAAAATTTTTTCGGAGTGGGCTAACGCCACGCACCTTCTTTAGAAAAAAATTTTTGTCGCGCCCCCCCCCCCGAAAAAAATTTCTCGGACCGCCACTGATGCCTAGTGATTAGCAGTGTGCGCCAAGCTGCGTCCAGAATCTATATTAAAGAGTACGACTATATTGGGAATCACTTTTATCAACTGAAGGTGAAGAAAATCATATATAAGAAATGGAGTGAGTTTAACACATTCTAAAGGACTTCTGTTTTTACTTGTAAAGTCATAGTACACAAAATTATAGAGCCTAACTTATCGTTTTTAGATATGGCAGCCGCATAGGATTGAAGATGAGAATGATCATAAAGTTGATGAATTTTCTTACAGCTTATAGATATTCGAAATTCACGAACATGCAAAAATGATAGGGAAAAACTGATTCATAATAAATGTACTGTGATTTCCAGGTCCAAACTGAGAAATACACTATAGAACAACGAGACAACTTGTGCGGGAAGTTTTGTGCAAACGAATAAGACTAATTCAAGTTTTTTAATGCTGGTATTAGTCTAGACATTCTTTAAGACGAACAACAAGAAGTTGAGGCGAACTCTGGACTGCAGTAGTAGTCTATCTATCATTTATAAACACTGCAATCTTGCGTAGTCAACTGCAGATTTGTGTTTGCCTGCAGATTTCACAGCGATAGAGTATGTGAAAGACAGATGCAAGAGGAAAAGAGACGGAAGCGGCGAAGGTGTTGTTTATGGCCTGTTTATAGGGGTCCAAAGTCCCAATGCTCTAGAGTAGTCAACATTATTTGAAGATCATCTTGCAAAGCGAACATCCGTTAAAAACTGATATTTTTTTACTTTAGATTTGTGAACAATAGCTATTTTTCAGAAAGAGAAAATCATAGTACAAAAAGCAGTCGAATTACTAACGGTTTAGGTTATTCTTGAAGGTAAGCTTATGAATTAGGAAGAGCATAAGTAACCTTTACAATCAACATATTTTCATATGCAGCAATGGTGAAAGTTTTTATCGAAAACACGTTTCTCAGCATTTTGATTTCTATGCTAAAGTGTTCCTGTGGTGGCAATCTGGCTGATTTGTGCGAATTATTAATTGTTTACTACTGAGCTGAAAATTGATAGTTAACATCTAGGTCAGTGAAGGAATTATGGCAATTATGGCTATGCCCCCTATTTCATCGTCATCGTCTACTGTTTGTTATGAACAGTACGTTGGAAGGGAGATTATTTGTTTGCAAATGGAATTCTAGACCAGACGCACAAAGCCTACTACAGCAAATAAGCATAGGTGCAAGGCCTGCAGAATTTCTCCGATAACAAGGGGTCAAGGAAGGGCTTGCGGGAGTTCCCAGAGTTCTCAGAAAGATTGGGCTGAACGGAGAAAGCACATCCTGGAGGAATCTAATGTCTTACACTAAGGTCACGCTCTACCCACGCTCGGCCCAGTAAATTGTCTTAATTGACTTGAGCACATAAAGTGAAACCGAGCATACAATATGGAGTAGGCAACGAAATTCAACTTTATCACAGTGGTTCTGACATTTGCCACTTGTTTCGAAGAGCATTTTTTAAAAGATTTTTTATTTCGAAATCTCTAAAGTAGAGCTGATGTATCTAGACGTGTTTAGAGAGATTTTCTATACCAAAACGTGATATAAAGTAACGCTTCCTTCATTTGAGTAAGGATAGAATAGCAATTTTTTTAATGCCATATTCTGGTAGGATAGAAAGGTGAGGTAATGTGTGCATTATACTACTAAAGAATCTAATCTTAAAAGTCTTCGTTCAATATTTGCCAACATCTCCAATGGGGTATTCGAATCTTTCAAAACATCGGGAAACTGCTGCAAAGATTGTAAATCCTGCCTAACCTAAAGAGGCATTTGGTAGCGAGCAACTTTCATCCTCAAAGTCAGCGCCTCTGATCAGTCCGACAAAAGAGTTTTAAAATTGTTCGCATTCTTTCTTTACAAAGTGTGAGTTGTTTCAAAAGTTCTGTTCTCGAAGTTCGACTTTAGTCACCGTAACTCCTCTCAAGATTGATTATTGCGAATGCAATAAATTGGGTTATCCACAGATTTTTGACAATTTTATGTATGCTTAAAGTTGTTGTAACAACTACTAATACGTTTCTCTTTTTCGAGAACAGCTAGAAAGTTTTTTTTGTGAACCCCACTTTCACAAACCAAATCAGAGATGTAGTAGAATAGCAAAGACTCAGCTCACTCGGCTGAGCGATTAACTTCCTTTGCGTTATTTCTTACTAGCTGGCTTACCCGGCTCCGCCGTATCCGGACCAAACTTGGCACACATACACTTCGGGCCCCGGCGCGTGTCATAGTCCACTTTTCGTTATCGATCGATGTCGATTTTACCGATTTTTATCGATTTTTTCGCAGAGTTCACCTACAGGGCTAGGAGTTGGCACAGGGGGGAAGTGAGCATGGGGATTCCGAATACAATATTAGTTTTCAGAATTATCGGTTACTTTTATTGATTTTATCGATTTTTTGTAAATTTTGACATGCGATGCTGGGATTTTGCACAGAAGGGTAATCGAGCATGCCGATTACGAACACAATATTAGTTTTCAGGATCGTCCATTACTTTTATCGATTTTATCGATTTTTTCGTAAAGTTTGACCTGCGGGGCTGGGAGTTTGCACAGGGGGGTAATCGAGCATGCAGATTACGAATACAATATTAGTTTTTGGAATTATCCA